ATTGTCTACTCTAAGAGCAGGCTTAATCAGACTTTAGCAACTCAAATGAAAATGCTAAATGCTAAAGCTTTTTAAAAAAGCATTTGAGTTGCTAATTGCTCTCACAGTAGAACTATGATTTCGTCAACTGTATGCACGCATGTTTACTATATATTTTGCTGTCTTGCATCTTGTGGGGATTCCTGAGGAAAAATGGCTTTGAAAGATTTCTGTGCAGTTTGAAGAACTCTTTCAGATACCCTGGGGTAGATTCTGAAGCTTAAGTATGGAACAGGACAGAAAACGTATCTACAGACAACACCTAAGTCTGCTGTGCATATAAATGTGTGGAGGCCAAAGGGGGAAATAGATTTTGAAAGCTTACCGTCTGTGAGGGTGAACTTACCTTCTGCAGGACTTGGGGGGATGGTGGCAAAAAAACCTTGAAAAGTGTCTGGTAAGGCTCTGCAGGAAAAAAATAACTTGAAATCTCTGTAGATAATTGGGACTTCTAGATTTGTACTAGTTTTAAATCTCAACTGAGTTACCAGTTTCAAATTCTTATTAACATCTGCTTTTTTGCCCTTAATTATTTCATTTTTATTAGGAAAGTATTATTATTAAAATAATTCTGATTTATGAAAGCCTTAGAACAGTGTGATTAATTTCATTATTTCTGAGCATGCAAAATAATTTTCTGAAGTTACAGGTAATTTAGAAATGAGGTATCTGTCAAATATTCTCAATGTCTTAGTGGTATCTATGTGAAAACTGTTTTAAGATGCTATGTGATTAAGGCAGCGCTAGTGAATTAAATTTTCAATTTTTTGTTGAAATATGTTTGTAAGAGATGAACTCAACTTGTGGCTGCATAAATATTGAAAAGAAGGCACAACTGATGTAAATGATGAGTGACAATAAGTATAATACTGCTGCAAGGTGTTGAATACTAATCAGAAAGTATGTTTGTTCTTTAGCATTGATCCCTCAATTGTAAACATATCAGACGAAATGGCCAAAACTGCACAGTGGAAGGCTCTTGCCATGAGTACTGAGAATGCCAAAGTAACCAGAGCTAACCTGAGGTAGCTATAATTACTGACGCGTTTTCTAACTAAGGTCTTGTGTTTAGCAGCTAATAGCTGTCCTTGTATTTCTTGAAATGTATCTCAAAAAAGTGAGCATATGTGGTTTGTAAATCTGCATTGACTTTTTACTTTTGATGAACTTGAATTTGAACTTCATTTTTGCTCTTTACTCTCAAGTTACACAATTTCTGTAAGGAATTCCAATTATTTTATTAAATGTATTATTACAATTTTAAAGTTACTCTTTACTTGCTTAATACAATTGTATGCTACTCTGATGGGCTTAGGGTTTCTAAAAGCTTTACTAGAATGTATATGAGCATGGGAATTGTTTGATCCTGAACATTACAAATGCCAGTGGGAATAAAAGGTAAGTCCAGCACTTTCATTGTTGCTTTGTGCTGCTTTAGGATCTGCCCCCTGTTTTTGTGGGTGGGTTGGTTGGTTGGTTGGTTTTTCCCCAGCTCATTTTTAATCTCTAAAAATTAAACCTGGATCAAATATTATCTTCACTGGATATGAAATATACTTGAATGAAGTACTGGACAGATTAGGAGTCCTCAGGGCTGTGAACGTTTCCTGTAAGCTGACATGCATCTTCTGTGATGGCCAGGAGCCTCTTTCTCAGTGAGCTCCCCATCAAACAAGAAAGTCTGTGTGCAGTGAGTCATTCTGCTATTCCATCCTAGTTTCTTCCCTGTCTGGCTGAATCTGTCAAGGGGAACAAACCAAATCCTGAATATTCATATAGAATATCCCCAACTTCCTGAAAGGCTTGTAATTTATAGGGGCTGGTATCTGTGGACTGTTCCATCACAGTGCAACTATTACTCAGCAGTTTTTATGTAGGAAAGAGGGGACAATTGGCCTGGTTGACTTGGAAAACTAAGCTTATGCAATCCTGCTGTCTGCACATGCATCTTCTTTTGGTTGATCCGTTTCAGCCGAATCTGTCAAAGGAAGACAGGTTTCAGAGATACGAAATTGTCAGGTTTTGTATAAAATTACGTCTTGGTGGAAGAGCTGGTGGTGGGAATATTCATACATAATCATCCAAGCTATCTGGTACTGTTTAGCTTGCATCATGGAAACAGCAGTAGTGACTGGCCACTTAGCACTTGTATACCATCGGTTTATTCAACACGTGCATAGCTCCAAACTAGGCATGGAAATATGCTTTGTTTTGCCCAGGCAGTAGGTCAACCAAGGGTGAAGAAGGAGACAAGGAGAGAACTTGGAGGTATTGTAATAGGAAAAGCTGAAGAGACTCATTAGTGCAGGTACCATTTTCAGTGAATCTTCAGCCTGTATTGTTTAAACATTTTAAAATAAATGTTTTAAACATTTTAAAAAAATTTCTTAAAACTTGAGTACCACACAAGCTAGACTGTCGGGAAGATAGGTAACAGAGGCATTAGACAGATAGCAGAGTATGTATGTCAGTATACCCTCATATTTTAATTCTGTATTTTCTTTCATGCTAAGTTCTGAGAAACCTGTGACAGAATTTGTGTATGCTTCCGGTACGTTATTTGATAGTCACTGGGTGTATAAGGCTTGAAGAGATACAGACCTGTATTTCTCTTTCCAGAAGAACTAAAATTTTTAGATTTGGTTTTCAGGCAGTTAGAAGTTAGTACAACTCCATGTTGTGCTTTCCTGTTTCCTGAGTAGGTTAAGTTAGTATAGAATTATGTGCAGCACTAGTGAATTAGGCTTCTGGCCAGTTTGCAGTGTTTTTTGATCTATTTAGGTCATATTCAGTACTCCATCTATTTTTTATATTCTGCTATAACGCATTTCCCTTTGATTCTGTAACGTGCCCTGCTTCAGATTAGTATGGTAAAAATTGGATCTTGGAAGGGAACTTGCTAAAACTACGAATTGAAAATAAAAAACTGCTGCCGGAAACTAGCTCTTTGAAGAGGCAATCTGATATTGCATGAATCTGGAAAATGTTAGAAAGCAGGACTTCCTTGAGCCTTAACTCAGTTGGTTGCTGTTTTGAGGTATTTGCTACCTTTTTTTGTATAGTGGGTGCTGGAGAGATTTGGAGATGTCACCACTGCTCAGTCAAAAGTAATTCCCAGTAAATTTTTCATCTCAGTTCTGTTAAGGTTTTTCTGTGTAACAGTTTCCATCTGATAGCATGGACAGATGTTTAATGCTGTGGTAGAAATGGTTCTGTAGGCACTGCTATTTTCAGATTTACAGGTTTGAAGTAGGATGCAGTTTGAAGCAAGCAATGTCTTTTGGAAATCCAGATGACGTTGTGTGGGTTGGCATTATTTCTTAAAAATCTTACCTTTTTTAAAAAATTATTTTTTAGATTTGTCTTTCCCGAACTGATCCAGATTGCTTTTTGTTTCTACCTCCACCATCTCTCATATTTTGTAGACTCTGCGGAGTCCAGGCACGCTTGTATTTTCTAAGGAATCCCAGAATGTTTCTCTTCGCATGAATTTCTAATACTTCTTTTTCCTTAAAGAGCAACTCTGCAGATGTGTCGTCTCTTCTAAAATTCATGCCTAGAGAACCCTCCCTCTTAATGCTGTTCCCCTTCTTCTTTCCTGTAACTACCTTGGGACGTTCCTTTCTGTCCTTGGATAAGCCACTGTTCAGTGGCTGTGTCCCTAAGAGTGTAAGTTGTTCAGGTGCCAGCCAGGCTGTTGTCTTTAGGGTCTTCCACTTGAATGGACGCTTATGCAGGTTTCTAACTGTCCTCTGCTGTTGTTACAAGTGTGATTTCCCATTTTGGAAAGGCTGAAATGTTTTCCCAGTCTTATATTGTGAACAAAATTGTTTCCCTGCCCAATAATTAAGCAGTATTAATAATGTTGCTTGTTATGTATTTTTGAGTATTTTTAACTAAATAGTTTTGTGGGTTTTGTTTATTTTTAAAAGATGTTTTGCAAAACAATTTCAAATCAATAGAATCAATAAACGCGGTGGGACTGGAAGTGATATTTATAGATGAGATCTTGGTGATTTCTCTCTCTAAGCTTGGACTGTTCCTGTGAATAGTATTTAACAATTACTAGAATGTAATAGAAATGCATCATCATAAAAGTATCCTTACATAAATACTTTCAATGTTCATTGTTAAGTGTAAAATGTTTGAAAGTTAACACTTACTGAAGTGAACGAAACCTTACATTTTCCTCTTTGCTTTCAAACAGCCCTGAAAAAACAGAAAGTGTGAAAATAAATATGGAAGATTCACCTGTTGTGAAATATGTGGATGCTGAAACATCTTTATAGAACTGAACCAAGGGGAACTGCGTGTATTTGTGTGTGTATATATATCACTGCAGGATATTATACCATTGAAGTGTGATTTCCAATTTAAGGAGCGACATGTATTTAATTCTGCTGTTGTTTAAGGCACTGTAGAGATGCTTGCATAATGAGAAGATTTTCCTGCAAGTAAGATGAGTGGTAATCACACTTCAGCTATTTATTTTATTGGAAATTTTATTTTCGTTTTTAAATAGGAAGATTGTAATGCATATTATTTTCAATAATCAGTATGTGTGTAAAAGTTAAATCAGCTTTTGCTGATGATTACTGGTCCACATTGCTTAAAATTTTGCAATACCTCTGTTTATAATGTGTGCTAAAGAAGTTTGTTTTCCATGCAGGCAATTACTGCTTGTTTTTGCAGGGTATACTGTTTTTTTGTGATTTCACAGAACAAATATTAATGTGCTGTTGACAAGAACTACTGTGTTTTATGTCTCCACTACATGCTTGTGTTTTCTGGATTCTGTCTCTCCTATTTTACAGAAGTGGCCTAGAGCCCTAAGTCAGGTAGGTAGTTAATCCTTAAAATATATATAAATACCCTGTTCTGCTACTTTTTTTTTTTTTTTTTTTAAATTCACTCTTGGTTTTTCATTATTGTCCAGTAGCAGTATGAGTGTAGTAATTGTAGTTACAGTCAGTATTTGCCATTCTGGACACTCCAGGTTTACACAATATAAATTGGATTTCCAGACAGCAATTTGGTCTATAGGAAGTTACACATACTTACCACACTAGTACTTTTGAATTCTTTGTTCTTGTTTTTACTTACATTTTTCCATCGACTTTCAGAGTCTGATTTACTCAGCTCTAAGACTGAAACTTTAGAGTATTTCATGTCCTCATCAAATACATTTCTTGCTTAATTAATTTTTAAATTTACTGTGTATTTGATTAAATAGCTGTAGTTTAATTCTGTGGTGGGTTTATGATCAGTATTATTTTATGGATTACAAATTGCTTGTGGTATTTGTGTGTACAGTTCTGATCCTCTCCATTGTAAAGGGCATATATGATAGCACACCAACTTATTTTTAAACATTTTATTTATTTTAATTAGTATAAATTTTTATCATGTAAGATGAATTAAAAAAGTAAATATTCATTTATTAAAGTAAATGGGATTTTTTTGGGCTCACTGATAAGGATGCAGTCAGTGCATTTATTGTACTTACATTTTCAAGTTCTAGTGTTTAGCATTATAATATTTGAAATAATGAGATTTTTATGTATAAGTGAAAAATCTTGATCACTTACCTGTGCAGTTTCCATTATTAATATTTTTTTTTGCCTTACACCTTAGTTTTTTGGCTTTAATTTCTGAAATTACCTCTTTACATTCTGCATTGCCACCAGCCCTTTCTGGATGTATTACAATGGCTTTAATTAGAATCTGTGCTCATTTAAAATTAGAAGATGCTGTTTGCTTAATTCTGTTTTTGGCAAAGTTGGGAGTTTTACCACGGACCATGTGGTAAAATTCTCAACAACTGCAAAAGGAGCTGATTCTGGAGGAGGGCAGAGTTCATCTGAAAATACCATTTGAGGTGGAATGTTGGTGGTCCTCAGCCAAGTGTCACTTGGAGAGAAGATAATTGTATATTACAAAAATAAAGCAATCAGTGGGAATAAATAGAAACATTTAAAAATAGCATTTAGGTTACATGGACTGTTACAGTTCCCTTTAAATGTAATGTAATTAAATAATGGCTTGCTTTTTAATTTTCTTCTTTCATTTGGCTGAATTCCAAGAAGACAGTTTAAAGAAAGTAAATCGTAGTGTACAGCAATATGAATAATGCTATCCAAACTGTCATAACAAAGGCTCAGGTCAGTGGCAAAGCAAGTGAGGTCTGCATTACCAATTTGACTAATACTGTGTAATGACCTGTACACATGTTCCTTTATTCTTAGATAATAGTATAGCTCGTGCCTTAGCTTGAGTATGTGCTCTTTCAGAAAATACCCATGTTTTCCCTCTAGTCAAACTGAGATACAGTGAAACTATAGCAGATGGTTTCCCAAAACTTTCTGCATTATTTTTCAAAAAAAAAAGTACACATCTGCATGTCAGTTGTTGACTACTAAGTAGCTCTTGCTGAATCAAAGAGGGAAGGTATTTTGAGCAGTTTACGTAGCGTTATCCATGATACACTACTTCTGTACCAGTCCTCCCAGTAGTATTTTACACTTTGTGTTCACAGTCCTGCAACAATTTCCAATGACCCAAAAAATTATTATAAGCCTCTTAGATTTTTAACTCTTTAATGCTGGAAATCAGGGTTCCCTGATGCTGCACGTCTTGTATCTGGTTTCTGCTTCAGAAGGGTTAAGTTTTGGTCAACATTACAGGAAGTGGGTATTTTTCTAATAAAGTTGAAAGGAAGGAGAACCAAAGCCCCACAAGTCTAATCACAGTATTTATTTAATGTTGATTGTGTAGATATTTTAATCAGTGCCAGAAATGCCATGACTTGCAGAGCAGTTTACAGTGACCTTTAGTTCCAGTGTTCTTGGTCAGTAGCATGTTATGCTTGCACTTTTTTCCCATATGACTAGAAGAAGATCTGGTATTAAGTGCATAAAACCCCATTGATAATCTATGGTTAAGTGATTCGCTGCTCATTTTATACCTTCTGCTTTAAAATCACACATAGTATTAAAGTAAAACGGCTAAGGATGTAGTTTACTGTATGTAGATACGTTTTGCCTTAACGGATGCAAAAGTGCAGTGATAATTGCTGCGCACTGATTTTTTTCATAGGGGTTAAGCCCTGCAAAAACTACGCCAATGTATTTCCATTCCAACAGTTAGAGGAAAATAAACAGCCCTGCACTTTTTTTAGATGCCTTGCTTTCCTGGAATGGAGCTTAGTGCTACTGTGTATCTGGCTGCAGAGCCACCTCAGGAAGTCCCTCTTTTTTTTTTTTTTTTTTTTTTTTTTCTTTCTTTCTTTTTTTTCTTTCCCTTTTCTTTTTCTAATTTATTTATAAATATGAATGTTTACATAAAGTGTAGGTCTTAATTTTGACCACTCCATTTAAATTATCATCTAAAATATTTCACTTAAAATGCAGTCTCGTGTTCAAATTATAATCTACAAAACTCATTCTTAAGTATTTTCATATGTATTACAATGACTTGCTTTTCATTCTGTTTACATATGCCCAAGTTAATTATATTTTCTTCCTAGATTAATTTTGCAGCTGTAACATAAGGTTATTCAGTGAAATGTTCCAAATTGCCAAGTTTGTCATCATAAAACCTGTTAGGGTAGAATTCGGTGCCCTAGTGGAGGTTTTTCAACCAAATGTCTTGGCCATTTTTTCTACATTTAATGAAAGTTCTCCCGTAACTTAACCATTTGCTTAACCACCCGCATCTCTGTCTTTATATGGTAGCTTCCTAATTTGTGCCCTTTGCAAAGGCAGGTTCGACAGGCTGTAAAATATATATCTGTAACAAATAGGTGTCATGTTGCGGAGCCTGCACCATTTTAAAGGGTTGTCTTGTACATATGTTCTGTAAATCATAAGATAAATGGTTCATGATTTTCAGTTCACAAATGTAGTCTGTTAGATGAGCACCAGAATGATTTTAGTTTTCTTTTTGCTTTATATGATTAGTAATGTTTTAATTACTCATCTAGGTCAAATTCATTACCAAGTACAGTACAAATGTGTGAAATACTTTGTTTATACCAACAATAATTTATTTTACGGCAAATTTTAAGACTAGAGGCACACAGCTTTGAGTCAGTGTAAAAGTAGTGCTATAAATAAAGCAAATTGCGTAGTAATTTTAAGTCGATTTTATTTTGTAATGTTTTTAGTGAAAACTTACAGGACTTCTTAGTTGGCATTGAAGTTAATCTAAAGACACTTTATTGAATTTAGTATCTGTTGACATTTATTTGGAATAATGAATGAGTTTGAAAATCAGTACTTTTCTAAATTATTTTATTGGCAAGACACATAATTTATAATATCTTTCTTTCTATTGTTGCTGATACTCCTGTGCAAAGGTGTCTTCCAGGGTTCAGCATCTGTAGCTGAACTACGATTTTGATTTTAATACTGATTATTTAAAATGTGATCACATACTGTACGGTTCGAATTTTTTATGACTGCTTTTCTAATTACAATGATGTTTTCTTACTTTATAACAAAATCCAAAGCAAATGAAAACATCATTCCAAATGTAGAATCAATATTCAGTTTATACAGAAAACACAACTCTCAGACTTGTCTTTAATGTGAAAGATCCAGCCTTTGTTGTTTTAATTACTGCTAGAATAAAAGTATCTTTTGTAATGTTTCAGAAAGTTGGTAAAAGCAATAAAAATCTACTGAACTATATCACGGCTTTTTCTCTTTTTATTACACGCAGACGGGGGCGGTGGGTGCTGTGGTCGGAGCCTACGGCTTGCGCGCTGAACAGAGGCGGCGGCCAGGGGCGCTCCCTGTGCCGGCTCGGCACGCCGG